GGGTCTTCCAGTACGAGCCTTATCCTCCACACTAAAATCATTATTTCTAAATCTTTCAAACCACTTCTGCGCAGTCCTTACACTAATTACAGTTTGATTATGAACAGTATTTAATTTTTTGGCTGCATTTGTAGCATTCTCATCACTTAAAAATAAAAAGTATAAAACACGTCTCTTATATTCATCTGTTACTTCCATTTTAACGAAAATAAACAACTGAAATGTACCCAATTCTGAACAGTATTATATGAATGAGATCCAATTTAACACTTCAGTGTAAAAAGTATCACATTAGACGGCATTTTTAACAGCAAAACAAGATTTTTCTCAAGATCATAAAATACACACAACTTATGGACTGACCTGATAAATAGTTAATAAGTGTTATACAATCCAGGGCTGCGGAGTCAGTAAAAAAACACTCGACACCGACTGTGGCAAAATTAAATACCAAGTCATTTTATGAGAGGCAGAGGCACTCATAGGGACACTCAAATAAATATTAAATATAAAAATACTAAAAAGTATTTTTAATATTTAACTTACATTAATATTAACCACAATCGTATCCAGCAAATTGATTACATATTTGCTTACATTAATATTTATTTGTATAAAAAAATTGATTTTTAACCAATATTTAATAAGAGGAGAAAGGGTGTGATAAAATTCTACCTCTACATATATTCAACAGCATTTGCACTTCAATTTCACCCTTCCAGAAGAGTTAGTCCAACTAAAAAGTGTGCGATCTGGCTAGCTACTTCAGACCCTTGTTCAGAAAAGAAAAATATGTACTCTGATCAATTAGTCTGGTTCATTCAGAAAAATAGAGGACTTATTTAGAGCAGGGATAATAAAGGAATGATTCAAAAATATTCTAATTCAATTCGGGTCAAAATAATTTAACTACTAAACATTAATACTACAAAGAAAACAACATATTTAATAAATTAAATTGATGCATTTTGTATTTAAAATAAATGAATTATAACAAAATACAATAACATTTTAAAAAATGAATAAATATATAATTAAATTTTCTTTCAAGAATTGGAGTTGACACATTTTTTCTGACTCCGACTCCTCTGGCCAGAAATTCCTCCCGACAGCCCTGATACAATCAGTAAATTGTTAATTTACTCTCTTGTAACTAAATTCCATATCTAAATGAGGATCTATAGATTATACAGTTATTATTTCTAGTAACTTAAATCACTAATATAAGAATAGTAAATTTGTAAAACTTTAAATAATTTATGATTATTCAGTTAAAACATTCAATTCAAATTGCATCAATGTATTTGATGCCAAAGCATGATAAACCCGAGTCATAATATATCATTTACAAGAAATATATATTTCTAAAACAAAATAATAACACATTTTTGAAAAATTTTGAAGATTTCTTCATAGTTATTAATAAAGCTAATTTTTAGATTTTGAATTGTTAAAAATTAATTTGTAAATTGAAAATATTAATTGTTGTTATTTGAAATTACCTTCAAGATTATCATTTATAATTTCTGGAAAACTTCTATTTATTGCTTCATTTGATGATTTCTTAAAATAAATTATTTTATTCTGTAATCACAATAAACAGAAACATAAAATAAAGCATATTTTCATTTAAAATAAAATATATTAATCAAAACAATTAAAATTTTTACTAATACAAAATTTAAACAAGTAAAATGAAAATTGAATCATAATAATATAAAATAAAAGTATATACTGGTACTATAAATTTGTATATTTCAATTCATGAAATTTAAATTTTTGAAACTAAATGTGTCTACTATTATTATTACTTGAAAACTTCTAAAAGTTAAATTATAATTATTATGATGTTTAGTTTTTACAAAGTTTATATTAGAAATAGATTAAAATTTCTTTACGATCAAATATAAAATAGATCTTTTAAGTTTTCAAATGCTTTTAGTGAAGAACTAAGCTAGTTTAGTTTCTCTAAAATTAATTTTATTTGAGATAATTAATTAAAATATTGTAGTGAAAAAAGAATGAAGATACATAATAAAAGATACTTCATTGTCTTTTTTATTATGGATAAAAATTGCATAATTGAATATTGGATAATTATTATTGATTTTATTCATAGTATTCAAAATGATTGTTTTCACATATTAAAAATTTACAGTTAATTTAACATGTGATAAATTCCATTGATAAATGTTAAAAAAAAATTGTTATTGCTGAATTTTGTAATGAAATTTAAGTTTGTCCTAAATATTATTTATAAATTTGTATTACAGTAAACCCCCCTATAACATGAGTTCGTATAACACAGTGGAAAATTGTGATCATGTTCGTATAACATGCTAAAAGAGGCTTAACACGTAAAAGACGGTAAAAGAATGAGACAGATTGTCATGGCCAACTTGTGTCTAACAGGATTGGTTGGATCTGGACCAATAATGACTGCCATCCAGCGGCACGTGTATATATGGACAGTTTAGTTGGGAAAGTTGAGTTTGCTTTCATCTGTATGTTGAGAGGTCGTGCTTGTCTCGACAAGGAGTCGTTATCATCTGGCTTATGGTTTTGCGAAACTAAACCTGATTTCATCTAGAGGAAGTACACATCTGATATCACAAATAAAGCTACTGCACATGTTATATTATAAGAGAATTTTATCCCCATTGAATGGATAAGCTAATTATACATAAATATAAAAAATATTTAGATACGGTGGAATCTACTTAAGGTGACCACCCTTGGGACCAAGATAAATAGTCAGTATATGAAGAATACATACATTATTTCATACAAACCCATGACACGTTGTTTTGTACATTTTATGAATTTACTTCTATTAATATTGACAGCTGTGGTTTTATATAACAGTATACACATTAACTGCATCAAAAACTGTATAAATTGAGTTATCCTCTCTTTGAAATTTTCCACTGTTATGTTAAGTTCTAAACATTAAAGTTCTAAATATGAAGCTTCTATGAAAATGTGTCAGACACAAGAACATTCATGTCATATATTTGCTGAAACCATTTCAGAACAGCAACATTTATCTCAAAATTTGCTTTCTTTCTTACTTTTCTGGAATAGTTCTCCATTTTCATTGTCTTAATAACATTCAAAGTATTCTACCTTGCATTTATGAATGTTGCTAACACATGCTTTACATATCCTAGACTTTGCTGCTTTTTTTTGGCTGACTATTGATATTTCTAGAGTTTTCTAAATTCTGCCTGAACAAGGGTGCTAGACATTGATTTTTACAGCCTAAACAATTATAAAATCCAGCCTAAAATTTATAATCACTAGTGCACAGAAAGTTAATGTTGACCTAAAAAAGCATATAAAAGCAGATTTCACAGGTATAATAAAATTATTTCTCATTTTTCAGTTTTTAGAACATTTATTTAAAATTTTTAGTGAAATGCAAATTGAATTTAGTTTTGCATGGTAGCTGTTGTATTACAATATTGAATCAACTTCTGGTAATGTAAAATACTTTTGAATAAATACAATATGTGGGAGTAGATGTTAACCTGAAAAGAGAATTTCTTCTTGCCTACACCACGAGGGTCACCAGTAATCCAAAAACCCATAATCCACCAGCATTTTTCTGTAAAGTGGTCAATTTAACAGGTTAAATTTCAGGAAAACCAGATGTAACAATAGTCACATTATACAATAAACAGGTGGTCATGATACAGAGAAAAAGTATCCCTAAAATTCATTGAGTAAATTTCAGGCCAAATAAAATTGATCATTATATGAAGTTGGTCACATTGACAGGTTCTACTATATTTTGCTATCTGCTGTGGTATCAAAATCAGAAACCTCTTTGCTTGCTGTATTAGGCTTTTCTGAATCAACACTAATGTTGTTTTAGTGATGTTCTTGAGTTGTATTAGTTCTAGTTTCAGTAAAACTTCACTAATCAATACTAGATTTGATGTTCACATTTTCCTATGTGCAATCATACTTAATGTCATTTAAAGCATTGGAAATGCAAAATTTCTTGAAAGAGTGCTGCACAACTTTTTCTGGGAATTTCATCCAAATACTTACATTGCTACAATGGAAGTAATGGCAATGAAATAAGATGCATGCACTAGAGGTCACTAATTATGATATATTTTATTTTAATTGAAAGAGGAGGGTGCCTCCGGTTCCACTCATAGGTATGACCTGGAGGTTGAAGGAGAAAAGTTGGTGAAATGGGAGTGAGGGAGATGAAGGATAGGGGATGAAAGGGGAACAAAGTGGGGGAGACAGGTGAGAGTACATGGCGCCTGCAACACAATTATTGAAGGCATAACAAAACATAATATAATAATACAGAAAAGGAATTGACTGAAATACATTGATGTGCACCAGACAGCAGCGAGTAAAAAAAAAATTATGATATATTACATTAAATACTATTTTCAGCTATCCTATATTCCTAAAAAAGTGCACCTTACATTCAAGTAAATATGGTATATAAAATAAACTAGGACATCATACAACTTCGTTCTATTGAAATAGCATTGAGGTGGAGTAGGAAAGAAAGAAGCAATCCTGCCGTTATTAGGCACATAAGTAGTCATCCTTGTACCCGACAGTAGCAGATAGGTAAACTTTGCAATTTCCGCCAAAAAAAAAGAGGCAATCCTTGTACTTATATATGTAGCTAGAGCATTTGGAACTAGGGGCAAACTTAAATATGGCACCTTTTGGATAAACCTTTCATTAATCTGTTACAAATTTAAAAATTATAAAATCTTTTTATTAATATCATGCATATTATATTTCATAATATAATTTTTCATACTTGTGTGTGACAGTTTTCTATGACTTTCTTAGTTTGCACATGTAACAATTTTGAAATTTTGGCATCCTGGGCACATATCTCCTCTGTCCTTGCCTTTCCACGATCCTGCTTGTACTGCCAGCCTCAGGTGAGGCAAACCTCAATAGCTGCCAGCCATGGCAGATGCAATCCTTGTACTGGTCAGGTACAGAGAGACAATCCTTGCACTTACCAACATGGAAAGGCAATCCAAGAACAAAGCAATTGCCATCGATTGCTTTGTACTTGTGTTTTGTTCATTTTTCATGCCTATTTTCTGTTAGATGCACACAATGTTGTTTTTTTATTTTTCTTCCTTAAATTCCATTATGTGCACTCAATTGCATCAGGGAGCACAGACATTGCCATTTTGACTCCACTGTCTCTTAAAACAAAGTCATGGACCCCTATTTTTTATATTTAAATGGACTCTCATTATATTTTTGGTTTCCACAATGCATAATTAATAGAAAATGGCAAAGTTTCATCAAAATTGGCCTGTCAAATTTTCAGAATGAATTCCATTGAAAACATGCAAATGACCTTGGGACATTGCCTGACAAAGTTGCACAATTTGTGTGTTAACACTATTGAATGCACTCATGCTACCACCTTGTATCTCAAAAACAGTCATAGATTCCCATTTTTTATAACATTTTTGGGTTCCTCAGTGTAATAAATGGGAAATGGCAGTGTTTTATCAAAATCAATCAATCAAATTTTGAGATTGAATGCAATATTGTTAGCCACATAGAAGAGGCTTCAATATCACTTTGCCTCAAATATATTTGACTTTTTATATTTAATTATAAATTTAGGTTAATGTATGTCTAGGTAAGTAAAATGGCAGCACTTCAGTTAGTTTAGGTTAAGTTAGATTAACTATATTTTTAGTAGATGTTTCCTTTTTTCTTTTATTTTGTTCAAAACTATCATGAATCAATAACTAGTGATGCTAAACACAGATGCTTGCTGGCAGCTCCCCTCTGGGAAGAATCAGTCAGAGCACGAACAGTCAGAAGTGCCACCATTTTAGTTACCTAGGTATACATTAACCTAAATTTAATTATAAATAAATTAAACATTTTGTAGAAAATGAATTTATCAAAATTTTTATACATTCATAAACCAAATGATTGCCATATTAAATTGGGCTATTTTACCACTACTATTAATAATTAGATTCTTATTAATTAATTAATTAAATCAGACTATTTTACTGATAAAATAGCCTGATTTAATATGGCAATCATTTCATTTATGAATAAAACATCAGGCTTTGAGATGTTTGTATATTTTTATAAATTCAATTTAGTTAATTGTATATATATGCATGTGCATGTATACATATACATACTGTACATAAAATTTAAATTTTGAAATTATTTAACGTTCCATTTTTCTAATTTTTGTAGACTAAATTTCTTTATTTTTTAAATAAATTGTAAAGTTTTGTATATGCATATTTAATAGTGATGTAACGAATATTCAGTTACTATTCAGTATTCAGCCTATTTTTCGCTATTCGGCCGAATACCTAAAAACAGGAGTAAAAAATAACAAAAACGCAGTAAATTAATCATTTTGGTATTTAGATTTAATGTTATCGGGTTAGTGTTGTTTGTTTATTTATAACTTATAACATGCACAAAATAAAAAAGAACATAATATTAGTCACTTGTATTCACAATTTATAATTACAAAGATCAGCACACGTATACACCTATTTGTTCGAGAATCATCGCACATCTGAGGATCTGACCCTGCCTATCCTTCTTTTTAAGCGCTCATCTTTGCTCTTCTCTTTCCTCTATCGCTCTAGTCCACGTATGCCTATGCATACATCATAATACACCCTCACGATACTTTCGATTTGTTGCTTTTCCGTCATAGACTTCTCATTTTACAATTACGTGACTCATACTCATAGCCTGGTGATAACGGAGAAAAGAGACAGATAGGACGCCAGTATAAGTCACAGTTATGATTTCACAAATTTGAAACAGCTTGGTAGCCCGAACGACCCCAGGCTTTCATCCGTGCATGCTAAGTGACTTTCATTACAAGCATTTAGCTTTCCAAAGTCTATGACAACAATTGTTTGGCATTCACAGCCACAAATTTCGGGCCAATAAGCTGCCTCGACTTGTTTGATTATGTTATCAACTCAATTTCATATTTATTTTCACATTTTCACTTTGTTGTTCTTTTCTGTTCTTTTTCCGTTATTTACATGTGTAGGTCATTTCATTGTTATCCACATTCGATATCATCACTTATCGCATACTGCCATGATGCTCTTTCTGAACTGTCAAGAATTAACGTGATTGGTGAAGTGTAGTGACAGTGGGCCAATAGAGAACAGGGTCCTTGCCATAATGCGGTTTGCACGGCTTGATTAACGCAATACGTGCGTTAATCAAGCTGAATAGTTTGGCCGAATATTCGGCTATTCGGCCACGCTCCTGGCCAAATATTCGGTATTTGGCCTGAGGCCGAATATACTATTTGTTGCAACACTAATATTTAAGTTTGTATTTAAATCAGAATCATTCTGATTTAAATATGACAAATAGAGAAAATATCAATATATAATGTTGAGACAAAAATTAAATAAATAGAAAATAAAAGTCAAAAGTGACAATCTTAAAATATCAATATTTATGATTAAAAGTTAGTCATGAATGTATTAAATTCAAAACACATTACACTAATATTAACATTTTATATTTGTTGCTAAATAAAATATTCAATTATTATTACCTTAGATGTTATAGTATTTGGAGTAATTGCAACACAAGCATTTGAAGGTGGAGTTGGTTCGTACTCTGCAATATCATATGGAATATCTTCTAAGATTCCCACTCCCATATCTTGCAAAATATCAGCAATAACATCTGTACTAACATCCCATCTCACAGGATAATTATTACATAGCATATTATTATTATTATTATTGTTTTCCTTCTTGTCTAAATTTGAATTTTCTACTTTTGTTGTTACAGTTTTTGATGTATCAGACTTTTCAGATAAATTTCTGTATTAGAAAAATAATTAACATAAACTTAATTAAAATATTAAAGATAATTTTCATTTAATTTTTGAAACAATTTATAAAATAATTTATAATTAAGTTTTATTATTATTAAAAACTTAAATATACAGTAGAGCGTCAATTTTCCGAAAGTCAATCATCCGAAAGAATTCCAGTCGGCAAATTTAAATTTTCGCCAGTGCTGTGGCGCTTCAATCTTTGTCTATGTCTTGGGCTACTCAAATATTTTACGTTTTTGATACTAAATTAACATCTGAAGTATAATTTTTTATTGTTTTTATATTTTTCAATATATTTATTTTGTTTGTACAAAATAAAAAAATAATTTTTAACGATACAATAGTCTTTGTTAGGCTTAACATCGACGAAAATTCAACGCGAAGCAACACGCAACGGATAAAAATTTTAACATCGGATACGTTAAACTATTTTTTCATACATAAATCGGTTATCCGAAATATCAGTTATACGAACAACCCCAGTCCCCAATTGATTCGGAAAATCGACGCTCTACTGTATTTTTAACATTTTTACTGTATTATGCATAGTTCAGTAATTAATAGTTCTATAAATAAAAAAAGTCATTATTAACTAGAGTAGCCACTTTAAAACTTCAAAAAGGAAGATATTGTTTAGGTGTCAATAAGTTATCACACACACAAAAAAAAATTGCACACCAAGAGAAAGCATTGAAATCAAATTAAACATTAATAGTGCATACATAATGATGATAATAAGTAAACACAATATCTTAGCAAAAGGACAATTTCAATTTCTTCTTGTAAAAGTTTAGTAGTCTAAAGATGAAGTATATATTTATAAGTAGAAAAGACTAAAAAAATTTGTCACAAATATTTTTTCCGAACACACTGACTGTTACCATTTCATTCAACCACTGTATACTCCAACAAATAGGGCAGAAGTGAAAGATAGTATAGAAAATTAAAAAGGCTTTGCCTACTATTATCTTCAGTTTTTATAATTACTACTTGCACATGTACCCTTTATTGGGATTTTTGTGCAGATGAGATCCTCATTTTCGGGTAGTACCAAACTTGTCTTAGGAGGTCAAAACATATGTACAGTATACCACCACCAGTGAGACTTAACATTAGACATTAAAGACTTAGCATAAAAACTTAGAAGTACAAGTAACATAAGTTCTTAGTCTGTAGCATGTCATTTGATCATTTATAATCAACGTCAATACATTATGATTAAAATTGTTAAATAATCAATATTTTTATAACACAGATTAATTAATTGCTAAGATCAATTATGTTCCTTTCAAAATTGAGCTATAGTTATGATATATCACAACAAGATTAATTAATTGCTAAGATCAATTATGTTCCTTTCAAAATTGAGCTATAGTTATGATATATCACAACATGTCATGTATGAAGCATACAGATGCACCCATAGTCGTGTGCACTATTGCAATTTTTTTCTTTTATGCTGAAGGTCACCACTGAATAGAGGCTGGTGTAAAGACCAGAGTGCCAACAATACCTGAAAAAGATGTACAGTGGGTGATCGGTTAACGAACACTTTCACAAAAGATTTTTATGATCGGACAACGAACACATGATCGGATAACAAACACTTCACTGAACAGACATAAAAAGAAGCGATGGAAATAGCAAATACCGACTGATTTTCCTTTGTTTTCAGGTAACTTTTTGGAGCGCGGGAGACCTCAACGTCGACGCTCAACCTGATAATATACTGATTAGATAGTATCCCTCAAACTTTGAAATACTCCCTTGTAATTCCAACCTTTTATTTTTCTGACAAACAATTCTTTTATAGTATTCGTGAGACTGTCGGGCGGGCACTCATTAAGTTTTGTGTTGGTTTTTATTTTCGAAAGGTGAGAGTATAATAGCAAAGGTAAGAGAGTGCACAAAAGATGTCTGATGTTGCTGGACAGTATGGCTTGAACAGGTCTACAGTAGGCCGCAGTTCAATCTTATCTAAGAAAGATACTGTATTATCAAGAAGACTCAAGCAGCTAAAGGAATAACAAAAATCACATCTGAGAAATAAAGAACAATGAAGAGCTCATAATGGAACCTGAAACGGATCTGACGACAGAAGAACGTCAAGAACTCTTGAATAGAGAACACCAAGAAACTCGTCAAGATATGTTTTATTCTGAAAAAGAGGATTAATGCCGATATCTGCTATTAATTAAAGATCTTTTGAAGAAATGGGGGATGTCAGATCAACGGTCTTAGAATGGCATACAAACCAGGTTGAGGTTTGTATGAGGTTGAGGTTTGTAGGCTTGGGGATCTCTACAATTACAATGCTATTAATTACTTCTGAAAAATCCCGAAGAAGAGAGAAAAGCAATCGACATTAGACAGATTATTTAACCCCCACAAACAAAAAACCATAACTAATAAAAATGCACATCTGTGTATACATATAAATAAACGTAGTAAGAAAGTATATATTTTTTATTTTGGGATGTCTCCAGAACGAATTAATCAAATTCCCATACAAACCTATGGTAAATTCATAATCGGTTAACGAACAATTCGGATAGCAAACAAAGTCTTGGAACTAATTATGTTCGTTAACCGATCACCCACTGTATTATTAAATCAAAAACATAATAGTCATTAAACTTAATAGTGTATGTATTGAGGAACAATTTGTCCAGCATTGTGAGTAATTGTAATCACAATAACATTTCCACTAGCAGTTTTATGCATCTTAAATTAGTCACATAACAAATTACTAATATAATAATAGTATGTTTGTAATGTCTTTCTCTACTAATGAAAACTGGATAGATATAAACCTTAAAATAACACCTTTAATACCCCTACAACTGCCGTAAATGATCGGACTATAATTTTGATATATAATTATAGATTAGAAATGAATTTGGCACTAGAGTGAGGCATTAGGCTCCATCTCTTATTAAAATTAATAATTATAATATTTTATTAATTAATTTAAATTAAACTGGAAGAAAAGAATTGGCCTGAAGAACTCAAACCCGCAATTCCCGCTTACCGTGCGTATGTGTTTATAGCCCAATCATTTACGGCAGTTGTAGGTGTATTTGCTTACCATATCAGGTTTTCGATTAATGTGTATATTTATATACCTTTAATACCTTAATTCTCCTGTATAAAATAATAATAAAACTGCCAAATGTTTTTGATCTAATACCAAGATTTTTATGAAGTCAATTAACATTCCAATATTCGACATTCTGAATATTGGACATTACGAGGGCTGTTCAGAAAGTTTGCAGCCTTGCCTATATGCGGCACTGCGATCAATTTTATTTTTGGCAGGAATAATTCAGTCATCTGTGCAAGAGATACGATACCAATTTCCTCTTGATTTGTCATAAAGTTTTGCCACAACAGCTTCGCAGATAGTCAGTGTGCACATGCTTTGTAAAAAATGGAGAAGACGGAGACTCGTGTGGTCATAAAATACCTGACGAAAAAAGGTTTGACCCCATCTCAAATCAAAGCTGACATGGATGAAGTTTTGGGAGAGTCTGCTCCTTCGTACACCACTGTGAAAAAATGGACAGCCCTTTTTAACTATGGCAGAGAGAGTGTGGAAGATGACCCACACAGCGGAGGGCCGTCAACTGCTGTCACCGAAGAAAATATCGACAAAGTTCACAATTTGGTATTAGCAGATCACCGTTTGAAAACGCGTGAGATAGCTGAGACAACAGGCATCTCTGTCGACCGAGTGCACCACATCCTAACCGAAAATTTGGGTATGACGAAGGTCTCAGCAAGGTGGGTGCCGCGTCTGCTGACCGCTGAGCAGAAACGCGTTTGCACTTTGATATCAAAGGAGTGTTTGGACTTCTACCAGAAAAACCCACAGGATTTCTTGCGTCGGTTTGTGATTACTGACGAAACGTGGATCCATTACTACACTCCTGAAACAAAAGAACAGTCGAAGCAATGGAAACACCACAGTTCGCCACCACCAAAGAAGGCAAAGACAGTTCCATCAGCGGGTAAAGTGATGGCCTCGGTTTTTTGGGATGCTAAAGGCATCATCTTTATTGACTACCTAGAAAGAGGAAAGACCATTAATGCTGTCTATTACTGTGAACTTTTGGAAAAACTGAAGAAAGAAATCGAAGAAAAGAGGCCACACTTGAAGAAGAAAAAAGTTCTGTTCCACCACGATAATGCACCTGCACATTCCGCCAGAATCACTGAACAAAAGATAAACGAACTTCGCTTCCAATTAGTTCCACATCCACCGTACTCACCTGATTTTGCCCCCAGTGACTTCCACCTTTTTCCAAACCTAAAAAAATTCTTGGCTGGAAAGAGATTCCACTCAAATGACGAAGTCATCTCTGAAGTGAACAAGTATTTTGCACACCTTAACAAATCGACCTATTGTGATGGCATAAAAAAGCTAGAACATTGCTGGAATAAGTGCATTGCTAACAAAGGAGACTACATCAAAAAATAAAAAAAGTTTTAACATTATTTTGTTTGTTGTTCTATTTGAGGCTGCAAACTTTCTGAACAGCCCTTGTAATTGACTTGATAAAGATCTTGGTATTAGATCAAAAACATTTGTCAGTTTTATTATTGTTTCATACTGGAGAATTAAGGTACTAAAGGTGTTATTTTAGAGTATGTTTGTATTTTGCATTAATGTATGATTATAGATTTGAACTATTTTTGGACTAGATATTTTGACAGTTATGGTGAGATATTCTTAGACAACCAGTGATACTGCAATTATGTTTTATCTGAAAAGCATGTTAGTTATTTTGCTTGTTTGGTGCTTAATTCTTGCATATGGTGATGAAACAGCAAAAAATATGCAATCTGTAAAGTTAGAATTGTGGAAATATTTGAAAATTGACAAGGTTTCTGCTAAATATAAGCTATGTGAAAAAACTGGTAACACATGTGCAAAAAAAAACCAATTTAAAAAATCACTTAAAGAACATGCATAAAGGCAATATTGATGTAGAAAAGCCTACACAGTCAAAGATATGAACTATTATCAAAATATTAAACACAAAACAAAATAGTTTTGGTAAAGTAAACATTATGATCAATGTTATAATTAATTCTCTAGATATTACAGTATGCAATTTTGTAAAACAACAGATGCAATGGAAGAGGTCTCAGTGACATGATATTGATGTAGCCAAATATTTTCAAGCCTGCAAAGTATACAATTAAAACAACTTATAATACTTTTCTTAGGTCACCAATGTAGCTAGTGATGACAGTTATACCAATGAAAAATCCCAAAATGAAAGTGGAGTTTCACTTGACAAAAGAATGTCAATACAGATCCACATTGATAATGCTTTCAATTCAATATCTTCAATTATAAGTAAGTTGTTAAGAGTTAACACTTAAGATATGAAAATTCTGTAAACTGATTTAGGTGGTGCCAAAGAAGCAAACATTACGAAATACTATTATATTTATGATAGTGAAGGATAGGCTACCTCTTCCAATTATGAAACATGAAGGCTTTTCCCACCTAATGAAAACAAAACAGTGCCTCTGTACAAAGTTCTAAAATGCTTATACAAGAAAAATATCAAGTGTTGAAAGCATCAACTTGTGAACAGCTTGCTACTGTTGCTCATTATTGTACTTGATTTCAGTTGACATCTGCACAGACATTAAACTGCAAAAGTTACATGGCTTTTTCAATTCACTATTTTTATAATGAGAACTTAAAATCTGAAACATTTGAAATGTTTGTATTAGAGCACAGGTCATCAAATTACAGCCTGCTGCTGCACTGTGCCACAAATGAGCTAAAATATAATTATTTATATGAAAATATCATATCAAAAATTGTAGATAAACTTACTATGTAGAAAGAATTAAAATAAGTGTAAGTAAAAATGCCAAAATTGGTCCAATCTGATTTTTGCATCTGACTGTAATATAATTTTTAGGAAAATCAGTAAACAATTCAGCAACTTTTTGTGACTTTGAATATCAGAACATTTTTTTTGTGTAAGTAGCTGCAATGAAGTTTCTAAGAAAAGCAATTACGAGCTTGTTGCAGAGATCGTGTTTGTGTATTGGTAAATAAATATGTTGGTTATCTTCACTTTTTTGTGTATTCAATGTATTACTGTATTACTGTATTGAACAAAATACAGTTATGTGGCCTGTGCTCATCATTCTCTGTTATTTGGCTCTCTGTGAAAAAAAGTTTGGTGACCTCTGTATTAGAGGAAAGGTACACATCAGAATATCTTATTAAAAACTTCTCAAGAAAAAACTCTCTCTGTTTCAACTGATAATGCTGCTAATGTAGTTAAAGTTACCCACAATTACTTTGGCCAAGAAAAGTACTTGTGTGTACAGTTCAATTGTAATTTAAAAAGCTTTATAAGCAGCACAAAAAACTTTTAATGACTAACATTTTCATTAAACTAATCAGTAAAAATGGCTGAAAATAGCCATTTTTAATTATCAAAAATGCTTATATTTGATTTAAATTATTTTTTATTTTTGTTACTGGTTATGTTTATAAACACAAACTTGAATAGATTATGAACTTTATTATTCTAACTGCAAAAAACAAAATGAAAAAAATTTGTACTTCAACAAATTATGCATAAGTGATACGAATGTTCATTGCATGCATGATTTTTATATTTACTGCAATTTTGACATTGCCCTTTTTTTTAAGGAGAGAGAATGTATTTTTTTTTGGTAGTTCTACGGAAATGCTATCAATTTGCACTTTCTGGATTAATCTCTTAAATCAGTTGCTTACTATTACTGTTGCTTTGTTTACCAGTTTTTTTGTTTTCTAATACAAGGTCCTACTCGTGCTACTGCAACTTCTTGTTAAAAAAATTCCTCTCACAGTATGTGAATTCTGTATGGTAAATTCAGGATCACATGAATGCAAGTATTTTTCTTTTTATTTTTGTGTGTTACATTTAGACCTAGGCACTATAATTAGAATATAATCAATAGAGAATCATCAATTAATCAAAAAATTGATTGTTCACCAAAAAATTTCCATCACTAGTAGTACGTCCACTACTAGCGATGATGTAACTATTACCAGTAGTAAACATAGATTTTATTGTAACTATCACCTATGAAAAAACTAAATCTTGCATATATCTCTGCTTTCAAGGCTTCCTTTTCATTTATTTCATTTCACGGTCCTCTTTGAATTCCCACAGGTCCTGCTAAGCACACATCGAGAATGAGTGCTCCACTGTATTTAAAAATAGTCAGTTGAACAAAAGCTGCTGCTAATTATAAAAACTGCCAAGATTAACACTGACGTAATTATATAAAGGTATAGCACTTGAAATCATTTATTTGACCAACATTTTTGATTACTCATTCACAGATCATAACCAATTAAAATTATGAAAACAGTTAGAATATAACCGACCAAAATAAATTGCTACGAGAATATTTCAGATAATATACATTGACCGGTGCAACAACACATGATTAAAACTATACATTAATAATGTTAGTAAAGGCATAGTTTTTCATTTCATGCAGAATATAGAAGCTTTGAAGCCTATATATGGAATGTAAATATCATTACAAATACGTTACTTTTCGTGTTCATTTTTATTTTTCGGTAAACGATCACATCGTCGAAGACGGCTATTATCACTCTTCGTCTTTGGCGCCATTTGTTCTGTCCGAGCACTCTGGTGGTGGGAGATGACACGATAATCTCGTTTTTAAATATTCAAAATTTTTCTGTAAACGTAAAAAAATGGAATAACATTAATTAATTTTACATTATTTATTTATGAAATACACTTCGCACTATTAAATTGTAAATTGTTAATTTTTTTATTTTCAATAAATTTTTTTTGTTTTGATTTTTCTACTTTAAAATTATTCATGTTTCTGCGTTTGTTTCCATAAATTAAATAATAAAATAAACTTGAACATTTTTCCAAAATTTTAAGTTTTTGGTGTAAAAAATACTTGATATAATACAGTGGTGCCTCGTATAACATACGCTTCGAATAACGGACGCTGCGAACAACGGTCTTTCCGTTCGGCAGTTAAGTGAGGCGAACAAGTGATAATGATGTTTCCACTCTTTTGCCGTTGCCAATAACAATCTGCTATTTTTATAATATGTTAATATTATTAGAATATATTATTAGTATATCTGAAATACAGAGCTCCCATTGGGATTCGGCTTGCTTTCTTGTTTATTACGGACATCACCTCAGTGCAGGGTATTTACATTTATTCAAGTGTTGTGCAAATCATGGCTTCTAAAAAAACAAAAGTGATTTCAATTTTAATAAAGCAAGAAATCATCAGACGGACTTCCTTCTCAAATGGGGAGAAGTTCAGGAGTTTACCAACACTCACTATCCAAACACAACTGAGGCCAACAGGATCAATGATCTCTACAATGACACCCTTTCCCGTCATTTCCGACAGGTGTTGAAGAAGAGAGAGAAACAGACCACCTCAGACATGTTTTTCAAGAAGCCAGCTGCCAAAAAACAAAGGATGGAACAAGAAGAGTTGACCCTGGAAGCCCCAGTAGCCTCTCCTGAATCTGACTCCGATTAAAAAAACAATAAAAAGAGACCTGCTGCAACGTGTAAAAAGTCTGTATCTGTGTGAATGTGTGAAGAAAGTGTTCCTCCACCTCCTCCTCATAACATTTGACTACCCGGCATAATTGGTGACTAGGATTAGTATAATTGGTGACTGGAGGATCATTTTCATTTTTTTTTTATGGTACAGTACGGTTATTTTATGCTGCGGAACGAATATGTTTTAGCATGTATTTCTACGGGATATAACGGACTTTTCACTTAACGTGCACCTGGAACGGATTAAGTACGTTATACGAGGCACCACCGTATATCTTAAAGTATATTGTGGCGACAGCTTTGGTGACAAATCACAAAGTCGCCACCAGAAGGAACCCCTGAACTGAACAGACCTGGCAACCTGACCTATGACAACACATTCCTTTCGAATTCGGACCTCGCTCCAGACGTATGGATTATCGCTCCCGTGTTCAACTTGTACAGTCGCGCCATATTTCATGTATATAATAAATTTTAATCTTTTATTGTATGTGACCTTGTTTGTAGTGATTAATTACGCACGAACAAGTTTCCACATATATGTACAGTACAAGGAGTTAACTTAAGCAATATACTGTATATACAGAGCGTTAACGATAAGACTGGCCAAACTTCGGGAGTAAAAAGTCAGTAGCTCGAAAAGCTTGATTTTCGAGATAAAGAGAATTTAAGTGCTATAAAAATGCTCTTTTTTAATATCTCAGTAACAATATGAAATATTTAGTTGACATTTGTTGCACTGTTTTTGCTACAGGTAGTCTACATTTTTACAGGTTTTTATACTGTATGTGATTTTTTTTATCGGGAGCGGAGGTATGTGATAATGTCAGCGGCACATGCAAACTATACAAAAGGGAGCACAATCTATAAAAAAAGAACATTAAAAAAGAGGCACAAGCTATACAAGGGCATCATACATTATGCAAGACGCTTCAAACTATAATTCAATGTCGGATCGACGCTCCTACAAGTGGCATTGGTTGCAATCGGGCTAACTTAGCCTTGAAACCAAGAAACGTTCCGTGTTTTTAAAGCCAAGTTTAGGTCAACATACGGTGAAGATGCATGGGACAATGAACAAATATCTTTCATTAGTTTCTTTTATATTTACAAAGTAGACTAAATGTCATGAATTTTCTGTTGTTTGTTGACAAAGAAATTTAAGCTTGCTTGGAAAAGGCAAAACAGACGAAAAGTGGGAAACGTGTCCCGATTACGGGCGTTCCTGGATGTGGCACATTTCTTTACAAAAACTAATTAACAGAACTCATCCCACCACAACAACGCAAAAGTGACTTTCTTTGCTAAATTTGAGGTAGATTCAAAAGACATAAAAATTAATTAGTTTTCAATGATGTCACATGCGTTTTATAAAGAAAGGTGTCAAAGAAAATTGCATCGAAAATGTTACTCAGAATAACAAAAGCTCAAATTTATGCCAATTAAAACTTTTTATAACGATTTTACTAACGGCCAACGCCAACCGAACTGTACAGTACGTCATCGTCTTGGATCTTTATGTAAATAACACAATCATTAACCGAAAAACAATTGATATCCAAACAAAAACATCTGAGATGTATTGATAAAAAATTGCGCCAAGTAAAAAATTATGACAATTTAGATGAAGTCAAATGTTTTTTCTTAGGAGTTTTTCTTTGCTAAAGTTTGATACTTCAAAGCGACATGTAGGAAACGATAATAAAATCTTCGAAGCGCAAACTTATCCATACCAAAGAAAAACATCTAAAAATTGTTACCGAAAATTTATAAATATTTACAGTTCCACGCATAAAATAAAATTTTTATAATTTAAATTCTGTTCGAAAATATCAAACGATACTCAAATGAACCGAACAAATTCGTATGGAACAGTTAAAGATGAACTGTTTTTAAGTCGTTAATTTAATTTGATTCGTTATTTGTTACAAACTACAAAATTTAGACTCGAAGTTACCCATGGACGTAGAAAATAACATCAAACAGTTCTATTTACAAAATTACTAACAAGTAAGGCAAATACTTTTCAAGTGACATCTTGAAGTAAGGAATGATACGAAAGCGACAGAATATTATTTACAAAAAATATTAATCGGAAGGATAATTATCAATACAATTCACTTTGTAGAGCCGGCCTATCATTATTTTCCTCAAGTAGATCCCGAAATTGGTGTCATGTATCAGTGAACATACAAATAGCCAACCATCTTGCAAACGGTTAACGAAAGAAAATGTAAAAGATTTTAATCATTTCCATTTATTCCATTTAGCATAATTACAAAAATTTGCAAACGAAGGCTTTTCAACGGTAGGATTTCAATATTTACAATAGAGCATCGATTATCCGACCCCCGATTAACCGTCACCTCGGTTAACCGACCGCATTCTAGTCGGCAAATTCAAATGTCCGCTAATGGTGTCGCGCTACAATATTTGGCTATGTCTTGGCTACTTTAATAGTATTTTTACGTGTTTTAGCTGGCAACACTGACTCGACCATGAAAGGGAGGAAGTATTTAAACGAGGCTTAATTTTGGAATTATGAGTGGTTGTTTTGTGAGCAATAAAATAATTTAAAAATAATTTTTAACGATACATTACCGACGATTATTATTTTTAAAAAAAATTTATTAGGCTTAACATGGAGGAAAATTCAACGCGAAGTAGGTTAATAGCGTTATACTAATATACTAATTACGTGGGATATAATAATATATTACAGTAATAATGGATTTTTTCATACTTTTCGGTTATCCGACTTTTCAATTATCCGACCAACCCGAGTCCCCAATTGAGTCGGATAATCGATGCTCTACTGTACTTATATTCTATTCTTAATAGGCTGTAAGGTATAATGAGTGTATGACATACAGTAGTTCTGCATATAACTACAATTGTATAGTGGAAAGTACTGTTAATAGTACTTTTAAATTTCTTTTACAAAATACAGTCGACCCCCCTATAACACGGTAGATACGTTCCGGTTTTTATGAATTCATTTTCTACGAGTCCAGCCAATCACAGCCGGGCACGTATGCAGTTTACGGACTACGGCTGTTTGAAATTGTTTCTTCCATAAAATTAATCGATTCTAGACTAATTCGACTCAACATTTCCAAAATATGTATAATTTTTGGGGAATAATCCGTATAAACCAGTGTTTTTAAACCTGTGGGTCACGACCCCCAGGTGGTCGCAAAGCCTTACACGGGGGATCGCGGGTAAAAGAAAAGGACAAGTGTTTGTAGGTCCTACACTACAATAAAAAAAAACTACAATTTCAGTGAGAAGGCTGTGCCTGTTTATTTTACAGTACAATTGATTTTCGATCGATATTTAGGTCTCAACAGAAAGAAAATTAAATACGTAGTTTTTAAAATCACTGATATAGTTTTAATATGGCCCTGGGGGTCGCCAAAATTTTTTAACTTGTAAAGGGATCGCGTATTCAAGAAGGTTGAAAAACACTGGTATAAACTACTGTATGCTATAAACAAAAAATTGTAGGATTACTTACCGAGTGTGTACCGTTCGACGATGCCATTGCTTAAGCTTGTTTTCGTGGAGCTTGTCATCGAATAGCGCTCGCGTGCTTCCTCATAAATTATTATTATTTTTTTTTTGCGAAAAATTCGCTGAACTTTGGAGGCATCATTAATATAAATATAATTTTTATGGACATTAAATAATAAATGGTTTTTAGTAGGTCCGCTGCTCGTTTAAACTCAACACTTTGTACAATATCCGCTATTGGTCTAGATTCGAGCAATCCTGTTGCGACACGAGTCGGCGATGACGTTTTACCGAATTATAGTTTTTTTTAGCATGTTTGTACGAATACTGTCGCAAATTTTTTGCCGTGATATAGGAATCTGAACTATAGGAACCCGTGTTATAGGGGGGTCGACTGTAATTGCTCGTTTTCATATTATTTTTGCAGTTTGTAGTATTTTTAAATTAAAGATTTATGAATGTGTTTATTTATTCTAAAACAAAGTGAAAAAATGTTCTCAAGTTCTACAAATCGAACTTGAGAACTATATTAAATANAATTTTCGACATTTTATTATTCGTTTAATCTGAAGTAGATTGGTAATATCAATAACATCTCTCATACAAGATTCTTCTTTTAAAATATTCCATATTGTAGAAGCATTGAAAACATTCAGAAAATAAGGGGTTGGGTAGAAATATTTCTCAGGCTAGAGTTACCTTTTCAAACCACGAATGACATCCAGTCCCTGGAGATAGAAACACTGATACGTTGAAAGAAATCACATCAACTCTAAAAACTACTACCCGGAGGGAAGAAACCATTCCACGCTTTACAAACTCATCTCCGGTAACAAAATGGCGGATGATTCTAGTACTCCCCCTTGTACCATAGTGTTGAGCTAATATCAGTAAAAAAACTCAAACAAAATATCGGAAATAGATTCAGCCTAAGACTACACTTTCACTTTTTCAACGATGTAGGCGAATTTTTTTTTTTTTTTTGAGTTATACAGTGGCCAGTATATGATGAAGGAAATAAGAAATCCTAATCTTTCTTTCTGATGGAGGTTTCTACAAGCATTAACGGTTTCTACTCGTGTTATTTAAAGGATACAAACCAATTTTATAGATTTTAGTCCGAAAATATATTTAAAAGTACCGTACATCTTACCAGCAGAGAGAGAGGGAGAGATCTATATTCGCATATCATATTAAATATTCTATTTAATATGATATTCTTTACGATTTGTTGTAATGACTTATATTCAGACGTTCTATAAGTACTTGCGATTGAGGACGGTGTGTAAGCTTGGCCGAGAAGGGGATAGCAACTCCCGAAATGCATTTACTTTAAAAATGATTATACAGTGATTGATTATTTAATTTTATTAAGATAACTTTTGCTATCTGTTTGAATTTTTGTTACACAAGTAAAAAAGTTATGAAAATTAAATTAGGTCTATCCTCTTTTAAAAATATAGCTTTACATCGAAATATATATTATCGAAAATGTCTTCTTTCGTTTGATCTTTATCGGAAGAAAAAAAATCAGCTTCTTCTAAAATTATTATATCGCTCTGTTCCGCGACTTTAGTATCCACAATGTTGGCTAATAATCGGCAAATCGAATTGCTCTTTAAATATATTAATTCAGAAAAATTTACTTTTCCATGGCGATCGCAAAAAGATTGTTGAGTGGTTATGTCACTTTCTTCTTTATCCACGTAGCCATTCACGAATACAGTTTTCTCTTGCGCGGATGTATACTTTATGGGAAGAGATATGCCAACTATGAAGCAATCATTTTTCACTTGTACTTCGCATGTGAATTGTGTAAATTTTATCATCTTCTTTTCACATCGAGTGCTTGGACTTTTCCGGTGTCTGTAGAGGAATAATGAGGTATATGTTTCTTTCTTTCTTTGATAGTTATTCCAGGAAAAATTCTTTGGGTAGTTAGTTAAATTTTTGTTCGTAAAATAAGATTCGATTGATTTTGCTTCATTATCTGTTAAAATGCATAACGGGAATACACGTTGTTTTAATTCGTCTAAAGACATTGCCAAAAATCTGATGTTAGGGAGAAGCGGTTCCATAAACTTTCGAATCCTTTCGCCAAACACTTTTTTATTTTCATTTTTAGTATCCAGAAGTGAAATTTTGAGTTTTGCCCAAGTAACTAAAGCATCGAACAATTCTATTTCTGATAAATCTTCATATATTGGACGCGAAACAATTCTGTAAAGTGTTTCATCATCACAGATTATGAATGCATTCTTAACCATCTCTGACATGGTGGAAGAAAATGTTTTCCAACAATTATATTGTAATAATAAATCACCATGTTTACGAGCAGTTTTATATACATTACAGACAGAATAAACATCCATTGTTTGAATCAAATATGTACGACAGACACTCTGAAGACCAACAATTTTAGCGTTTCGAGCGATTTCATATATTTCAATTCCTTCTTCGAAAGAAATTAATTCTACCTCTTTTGTTTCCATGTATCTTTAATTAAATATAATAAAAGATATAGGCTAAATATTTCCACTTAAAACGTAATTATCAATATGTAAAATGATGATAAAAAACTTACTTAATGACTTTTACCATGTTTGAATAAGTAAAGTCTGTAGAAATTCGGCATGGTGTATTTTCTGGATAGTTTTCAATAATGGAACGTAGGACTTCACTGTTTTCCATCACAATAGATTTTGAAATAGTTAATTTAGATACACCATTACAAATGATTTCTACACTATCCATGATGGATTCGAGTGGAACTTCAGATTTTTTTTTTTTTTTTCAATATTTAACAGTAATATTAATTAATTGAATGGAATGAATTATTGTTAAATTTTGTAATTATTTCTCAATAATTAACTTTTTACTTAATTATTAAATAATTTTGTATCGGAAGAGAATGTGCTTAACTGTTTCGTAAAATTTATTTGTTATTTTGAAAAAATCCTTCGACTATAAAGCGAGTTTTCCAGAGTGGAAGAACTAATAAATTAACTGTCATATAAGAATATTGTGCCATTGCCCCCAACCTTAAAATTCAACAAAGGAAAATAGATAAAAACAAGTAAAACGGCAAGGCCGTGTTTGGGACAGGACTATGTCTCGGAGACTCACTACTAAGCGGAATCACTTTGACGCTCAAGGCGGGTCTCATTCTCATTCTCCAATCTTCTTTGGTATCGCTGCTTTTGGGCGCGATCGTTCAAACTTCGCCGCCCACAATACATTTTCCATGAAATTAACTTATCCAATTTCGAAATTTCTCTCCGTTGCGTGTCGGCCCGGGTTGAATTTTTGTCGATGCGTAATAAAAAGCTCCCGTTTTTGAAAAAATAATCGTGGCTATTGTATCGTCCAAAATTATTTTTTATTTTGCACAAACAATATACAGTTTAACCCGATTATAACGTCATCGGATGTAACGACAACCCTAATATAACGTCAAATTTTTATCGGTCCCACGATTTTACTATACTAGATAATGTTAAAAAAAACCCCACTTGTAACGACATAAAACCGTTTTAACGTCATATTTTAAGCATTCCCAAATTTACAAAATTAGATTACAAATTTTATTTAACATAGAATAAACTACGTGTTCGGTCCTAAGGTCAGAGTTCACTTCCTAGAACGACTGTGGGTGGTACTCTCCCCTACCTGACTTTGGTGGGGTGAGGTGGCTGTTTTGCCTGTTTGAAGAAGAGGGTCGCCATTTTGTATTTTATTTTGATTCAATTCTCGGTCCCCTGACTACCTACAAGTCTGGATTATTTTATGCGCAAATTTGGGCACCTAATACTCTGTGCCAAATATCAACTCTCGACATGTACTCCTTCATACCTTTATGCTGGTAACATAAAAAACGGCATTACGATTTTATAGACAAGACATTCATAACAAAACAACCAAATCCAATTTCGGCCGACTGGGCTTATCTAATATCTGACTGATTTAAAATTTCTTAGACCATTGGTTAGTTTGTAACTTTTATTGGTGATTCATAATCATGAACTACGAGTAACTGTATGTGAGGTTCCAAAAAATGAGTTGAAATTAAATATTTATTATTAGAAATTTATTAAAACGAAACTAAAAAAAATCGTCTATTGTTAAAAACCGATCAAAGATCAAATTAGTTGCGTTAGTCATATGAAACCGCGACGAGAGAAAAAAAACTTTATTGATGTAAACAGAACGTAATAATTTTAAATGATTAATTAATAATTGTAAACAAACGACCTCCATTAGAGATGGACCTTTGAAAAGTCGTTCATATGCATATAATTAGAACATAGAAATTTTGAAAAGAGGAAAGATTAATGACGAAAAAGGACATCGCGTCCTGTCGTTAAATTTCAAAAACGTCACAGACTAGACAACAATGGTGGAAAATATGAGCGCAAGTTTCAAAGTTCCATCAACATTTTGCAGCCAGAATAATGGATGGTGTCAAGTAGATTCTTCAAGGCGGATCTTTCTCGTGACTCGAAAAGGAATCGTCTTTCGCTTAGAGACAGACGAGGGAGCCAATCAGAATAAACAAGTTAGAGAACGGAGATTGATATAATCCCCGATCTTCAAGGACAGAAGGACTTCTTCCGTAAACTGTGCTACGGAGTACCTGCACTCCAAAAAGTCCGAAGCGAAAACTCTGTGTGTCGACGCACAGAAGACGAAGAGTCCGCACTAGTGTCCATCGAGACAGCCGTGCCGCCGACGCTTCCCGACAAGTCTCCTTACCTACCGCAGTCCCGGGGCCCATCTCGGAGTGACGATAGAAAAACATCCTCGACGTTTAAAACTTACGAACGTTTAATTGGTTAAGGAACTTTGTGCATAGTGTAAGTTATTTCCTGTTAAATTAAACAGATTCTTGTCCGATTCTTGTCATCTGTGTCTCCTCCGCCACACCCACACGCGTACGACCGTAGATCATTCTGACGCGGGATTAACGATTCCCCCAGGAAGTCGGCGAACTTACATGTACAACGGTTAGAGACCGAACTTCACCCTTTAATCAAATGAATAATAAAAATCTGTAATAAACTTTTAAAAACTTAAACAGAAATACTCTTATTAATAAATATTCATTAAACTATGATTAATCCCCGGACATAATATAAATGGATAAAATATAAATTGGCCCTCTTCCAAATGTGTGGAAATTTACTTGCCATTTCGCTACATAACCAGAAATTTTGTTTATTTCGTAGCTCTACGAGTTATCTTGTAATTCAGTTTCAGCATCAATTGCATTCACACCAAATGAATCTATCACCTAATCTGAAATATTTATAATAGGACTGAATCGAACTTACATATTCTCGCGAAGCTATTTCAAATGCTCAATATACACAAAAATATCATCTTGTACTTCATTGACAATAGTGGCCAGTAATGGAAATTGCCACTATTGTCTATAAAATCGTACTGCCGTTTTATGTTACCAGCATAGAGGTATAAAGGAGTACAGTACATGTCGAGAGTTGATATTTGTAGTAGGTGAGTAGGTACAGAGTATTAGGTGTCCGAATCATTTGCGCATAAAAAAAATCCAGACTTGTAGGTCACAATGTCCAATTTAAATTTAGCTCCACACTTAATTCTATGCCAATTTCAGAGGTGAATAAATGGTGCACTAAATTGAAGTTTCGCGGTTTATGCACTCTATATATCTACATTTAATAGACTTATAAATTATTTTAACAGGAAAAATCTATCGAAAAAGAAACGAAAATGACACGCTTTGCGTGCAAGATTTGACGTGTTTTCGTTTATAAAAAACAAATATAGTTGAACCTGTCCATCTTGAAACTCACAGGAACGAGAAAAAATCCAACGTAGGAACCTCTATATCTCAAAACCTGTCAACAGTAAACGGTAACAAATATTTTATTAATACAATAGCAAGTAGAGTACACACCTGTATTAGGTATAAATAAAAGATTTTTGAAATACCTTAACAGAAATATTTTGTCAATAGTTTGATGCCCGACTTTCTTCGGCTATTAAGACGCAGGCCAAACTAGTGGCCAGAGAAAAGCAGCGTTAATTTCAACTATATACTATATTGCAAGAGATTTTTCTCAACTACAGTTTGCGCTATAAAATTGTAATAGCCAAGCTTTCAACAGTGCCGTATTTAGAACATAAGGGGCCCTGGGCCAGGATCAAGATGGGGACCCCATAATGAAACAGAAACAATAGTATATTACAGACCTAGGGATGCATTATTTGTTTCCTCCCGTGGAGTATATACGATTTTTCACCTCCCTCGCCAGGAAGTGGAATTTTCTTTCCGCGCTGCAGGAAGAAAGTACCGTTTTCGGCCGAGATGTGGTGAATAAGTATAAAAAATTTTGTAAGTTTGCTTAGTTTTAAGATCATTTTTAACTACGTATAGGAGAAATAAAGTATTTGATATTTTTAATAATTTGTTTATTTTAATTAACCTATTTTTTATCTGTAACTTTATTACTTTCGAATTAGGGGCCCCTTACAGCCTGAGGGCCTGCCCTAAAGACGGNACCGTTTTCGGCCGAGGTGTGGTGAATAAGTATCAAAAATTTTGTAAGTTTGTTTAGTTTTAAGATCATTTTTAACTACGTATAGGAGAAATAAAGTATTTGATATTTTTAATAATTTGTTTATTTTAATTAACCTATTTTTTATCTGTAACTTTATTACTTTCGAATTAGGGGCCCCTTACAGCCTGAGGGCCTGCCCTAAAGACGGCACTGGCTTTGAATTTATAATTGACACTTCAATCCACAATCTGAGATATAAAATGGAAAATATATCGAATTTAGGTCGAAAATGCTGGGAAAAAAGTAAATTTCGAGACAGGTTTTCGAGTTATATATGTTTGGGATAAGTTCAACTGTATATACATACACATATTGGGTTAAAATAGGGGTCCCCAAACTTTTTATCCCATTGACCCCTTTATAGAATATTTGCCTTCTTGTCGACCCCAGATTAAGTATTTTACAAAACATTAAATAATTTTTTGCGTTTCTGATATTAAGCAATAAGGAGACCTGCATAACAACCCAACGAAATAATTTATAGTTCCCATATCTTATAAAATTTACCCAACATTAACAGAAAAAGGAGATATTTTTCACTGATTTATAATCTTAAAAAAATAATAGCAAAATTATAGATAGATGGAAATTTACCTATAATTCTTAAACCGTACGTGCCATAATACGTAAAATACACAATTATCTTTGAAAACATAAGTTATATTGGATGAAAAACCTTTTACTGTCATTTTGCGACTACTACTGAATACCTTAAAATATGTTAACATACCTTTTTATAAAAATACTTGATATTAGTGGGATGGATGTGTCTGAAGAGTAGCAGCAAGATTATGGATATTCGGTTGAAAATTGGTAAGTTTTAGTCGCAAATCACCGCGGTTTTCCAAGTTCAATCTGTTCCTCTGTTTTGTCAAAATTGCGTTCGCGTGGCTAAAACCAGCTTCAACCATATATGAAGTTGGGAATGCGAGTAAGAAAGGTTCGGCTTCTGCTCTGAGCTTGGGATATTTAGTGGCAATATTGTTATTGCTCCAAAATTCACTGAGGTTTTTATTTTTAAACAACGCTTTAGCTTCGAGATCTACACATATTTCACTCAGTTCATCTTCTAAGCCAGGTTCACTACCTTCATTATCTATTTTTACATCAAATGGATTAGCAAACCATTCGGGAACATGCATATTCTCCAAGTCTTCGAAACGTGCTTTAAAGTCTTCTCTTAATTTATCAAGATGTTTAATATATATCTCCAAATCACGGTCGGAAATCTTTTCATTTTCTTTTAGTACTCGCAAGTTTGAAAAATAT